CAAGGAAACCTGTCTTCGAAGCAACCCTAGCAAGGAGGATGTTGGAGCTTAGGCTAGTGCAGGGAAGTCTTCTGAAGAAGGTCATCGAGGCGATCAAGGATCTGGTGACCGATGCTAACTTCGATTGCTCGGCGACGGGGTTCTCCCTCCAAGCAATGGACTCGAGCCATGTCGCCCTCGTTGCTCTCCTCCTCCGATCCGAGGGCTTCGAGCACTACCGCTGCGATCGAAACATCTCTATGGGGATGAACCTCAACAACATGTCTAAGATGCTGAAATGCGCTGGAAACGATGATATCATCACCATCAAGGGCGACGATGGTAGCGACACTGTCACTTTCATGTTCGAGAGCCCTAGTAAGGAGAAATCTTTCCGGTCTTTTTTTGTTCCCTTTTTTCTGAAAATTTTCTGTTAATAGTTCTATTTGGTGGATTTTATTTACGTGATTTCTTTTTTGTTTTTTTTTGGGGTTATACGTCGCCTTGCATGCTCTGTTTCGTTTCTTCTACCATTGTTTTTCGTTGGTTATTTTGTTGAACGATCTTTTCTATTCCGGCATGTATAAACTTCTCGTTATTTGATCGAACATTGAAGCTTTTTTTATTAAAGCACTTAATTTTGTTCTCATGTTATTCTTTGTCGATTTATGCCGTTCTCACTCTAATTATATTTTTTTAATACAATCATTCCGTCAGTTCATATTGTTGAGCTCATCTAATTTGCTCTCGATTATTGAGCAGAACAAGATAAGATTTCAGATTTTGAGATGAAGCTTATGGACATTGACAGCGAACATCTAGGCATTCCAGAGGCAGAATATCATGCAATTGTGAAGATGCCGTCTTCAGAATTTGCAAGAATTTGTAAGGATCTCAGCAGCATAGGAGATACTGGTAAAAATTATTGTAGAAGCTACAAAGCCTTTTACAGGGCAGAATCTGTTGCTGTTTTCATCATCTAATAAATTTTTTGGCTTGTTTATGCAGTTGTTATTTCAGTTACCAAGGAGGGAGTTAAATTCTCTACCAGAGGGGATATTGGAACTGCGAACATAGTCTGTAGGCAGAATAAGACTGTTGATAAGGTATACATTTCTTCAGTCCGCATGCTTAATTGAATTGTAAATTACAAATAT